GTCACAGTCAATATGTTCTACTACCAGCGGCAGCAAACAGAGTCCGTGCCTCTTGGGTATCAAAACCTTGAGTTGACTTGCAGGACTGTGGAGCCTGGCGAACCCTATCTGCTTTACATCCTCAGCAGGCGTCGGCCTGAGCAATCTGTCCAAACCTTCAGCTTTCAAGACTACACTCCTCAGGGTAAAAGGTAGAGACTGAAAGTTTTTGTTTTTTTTGTGTTTTGTTGGAACTGCAGCAGAAAGACAATGTTTTACATGTATTTGTGCTCCTTTTTCTACTTTGCTCATCATCAAATTATTTTTTTGTTTTCATTTAAAAGCAACAGAAGAAAACCCAGCAACATTCTCAGCCCTCTGCAGGACTCAATACCCTCAATTGAGGATAGTCCTCATAAACGATCCATTGATGGCAGTAAGGGTTCAAAAAATATGTCATGACCATTTTTTGAAACTCTTCTTCTTAACTTATATTTTGATGCATTTTAGGGAGAACGGGGCACAGTGACAGCGAGAGTATTGGAGGCAGTTCGGAATCCCTCTCAAGCCCTGGTAAAAACAGGCCCGCTTTTGTTCTTGTCAATAAAAGTTTGCATGAAAACATGAACTTTGCTTTTTTTGTTTCCTTTTGTTGAAGCTCATAGAAGACTGCCCAAAACAGTATCTACTTTGACAGTCTCATCGGATGACCTGGAAGTGTCAGACATGGTGTCAGAATCAGGTCTGTTTCCTCACTGCACACGGTCAGATCATTTGCGTCAGCGTTGATGTTAAACTTCACAAAAGGTGTCTACTTTTTATGTCCACAGACATTCCTGATGGCCAGTCTGTGAAAACACGATTGTTTTCTCGAGCTGCACTAACGCATCGGCTCAAAAAAATGAAGAGCAAGATGGCTAAATGCAAACAGTGTGATAACTACATTGTTGTCAGTGGGATTGAATGTGAGGAGGTATGAAGTCATGTCTGAAAGATACAGACTAACATGGGTAAAAGAGGAAAGTGCTGTGAAAATGAAAATAATAATACTTGTTCTTCTCCTCCTACATGTTAGTGTGGGCTGGCTTTCCACAGAAAGTGTATGGAATTCTGTCAGCTAGAGTGTGAGCAGAAGAAGGGTACCGTATTTGGAGTGGACCTCTCTGTGATTTTACAAGACCGGTCGGATGAGGTGCCATTTGTTGTTCGATGCTGCACAAATGAGATTGAAAGTCGTGCTCTTTCTGTTCAGGTATTCATTTACCATCTTCAAAAAGGTTGACCTATGTAGCTTCTTGAATCTGAACTTTTGTCTAATAACTGCTGTCCGCCGTTGTTTCTGAGGGGGTGTATCGTGTGAGTGGATCCAAACCTCGCATTCAGAAGCTCTGCCAGACGTTTGAGACACAAAAGGACCAGGTTGACCTCTCTGATCACTCACCCCATGACATCACATCTATCCTTAAGCACTTCTTCAAGGAGGTACTTCTAGAAGTTCTAATAAAGCTTAATAAAAATATGTCTAATTTTTTGTTTGGTTTAAAAACAGAGTTTAGTTGTCTAAAAGAGCATTAATAGTCAGGATCAACTTGTTCACTCTTCTAAATAAATCATGGCATTACAATACTTTCTAGCTGCCTGAGCCTCTGTTAACCTTTGACCTGTACAATGAATTCATCGGGGTGGGAAAGACCATTCAGCACATGAGTGAAAAGGAAACCTCATCAGAGCCCAATGAGATATTGGACATTATTCACAAACTACAAAAGCTACTGAAAAAGCTTCCTCCACATTACTACTCAACTTTGCAGTACCTTATTTCTCATCTGCAAAGGTAAGCATGATACAGAAAGAAAGACTTTTAGGTTAACTTACCTAACTTCTGTTCCTTTGCCTTTCTGTGCAGCTGTTCTTACATTTGTCATTGTTTTTGCCTCCCCAGAGTTTCAGAGAACTATGACAACAAGATGTCACCTAGCAATCTCGGTATTGTGTTTGGACCGACATTATTGCGCCCTCTGGTGTCTACGGACATGTCAATGATTGCCCTTCTGGAGACGAGCTACCAGTCGATGCTTGTGGAGTTCCTCATTGCACATCACGACAGGATTTTTGGAATGGAGCAGAGCATGAACACACCCCCTCCGCCAGCACCCACAGCACCTCTCCCAGAAACCCCACCCAGAGCTTCCTGTCCCCTGGATGGAGTCGATGCAGACTTGGAACTTGACACTTCCTCCAAAGAGCGTCCACAGTCCCTTGAGGTAAGTACCTTGGTCTTAAAAGGATAAGTCACGTGTCCCTGGCATATACTTTGCACTTCTTTTACTTAGCCTTAGCACATTAACCTTTTGCTAATTTCTTTAGATTAGAAAGAAAGCTGCTCAGCTGCTGTATTTCTGCTTAAAGCTCTGCTTTGCGTGTTTTGTCAACCTTTAGTTCTTAAATGTTTCTAACTACTTAAAAATAACCACTGTGAATCCCACTTTAAACATTTAGAATGGTTCATGAAAGCAACACAAAAACTAATAGAAGATGGAGAATAATAACATTTAGAATAAGAGCTCAAAATGACTGTACCCAACGTAGCGATCGCCCCACTATCCCATCTATCCCAGACTGAGTAGAATTAGAAGCGACCAGTAAACGCTCCCAGAAATCCACGTCAACCTGTATCATTCCAACAGAGCCGAGTTATCAAGAGAGACTCGAGCGAGGGTTATATATCTGACAAGTCTTCATCCAATGAGGCAGTGGACCAGCTCGGCCCTGAAGCCAGTGAGAGAACAGGTAGGCAGATGTGGGGTTTAAGCAAATGCTCCTGAACAAACCAATAGAAACGATATACATTTTGTTGATACTGGCATTTCCTGTTGCCTATAGATGGCATGTTTTCATCAGGTTAGTCTCAAAATGCATATATCAAATCAACAAGTTGCTACTGATGGTAAAGTAAGAGTAGGTTTCTCGCCACTTGATGCTGTGGTTATAGATTGCCACAAGTTCTGTTGTTATTTCTTGTTTCAGCTCATTTCCTCTAGTTATTTTTAGGTCTAAGACTTCCCTTTGATGATAAGTGGTAAACTAAAACAGATCTACATTTACATTTCTTAATCATTTATATTAATCCACTAGTTTAATATATAATCACATTTAATCACGTAAATTACCAATGATTAGCATTAGAAATCATTTGTGAATCTTAATTTCACTTTTAAAAATAACAGCAAAATAAGGGAACTTGTCTTTTTTGCTGCACAGGAAGCTCTCACTACTCTTTGCTACTTGCTTTTCTGTTGCTTTGCTTCTTTGTGCGGTTTAATCAACAAGCCCCTTTTATATTTCAACTGCCTATGTGCATATGGCTGCATAGGCTGTAGATCTCAAATCAATAACAAATATGTTTTTTTTTTGTTTGTTTGTTTTTCAGTTTCAAATTGAGAAATAAGATAAATGTGATTCTTTCTACAATATAGTTCAGACATGGTTTTCTTAATTTGACAAACAAACATGTAAGATAAATAACCAGTAACCTCTGCTAGGACTGATGTAATTTTGCAAATTACACATTTATGTTCTTTCTTCACCCTAGTCCTGGCTATGAAAGCAACATCAAGCAATCCTCAAGGAAAATCTTCCTCAGATTCAGGCACACAGCCTCATTATCGTTTTACTAGACAGCCTGTGAAGCATCACCGGTTTCAAAACCTAGGAACTCGATTCTCTAACCCAGACTGTGCAACGAAACAGCCAGCGACTCCCAAAAGGGCAAATTATCGTAGTGCAAACAACAGCCGCAGCTCCTCTCCAGACCCTGGATTGCAGAGATTTCTGTACAACTTCGAGGGCCACTGTGATGTCATTCAGCAACCCCACCAGGTCACCACAACTGCAGAGGCTACAGTCAATGTTCCACTGAGTCCCCGAGAGGTTGTGCAGTACATGCTGGGAGTGGATTCGACGGTAACATCACCAGGAGCTGCATTATCATCCAGCACAACAGAGAGGTCCACTCAAGAAGTGGCAAGATGGAGTCAAGCTGATCACAATGTAAATTTGAACAATGAGGGACAAAACCGCATTCACCATCCGTGTCCGAGGACCAGTTCTGCTGAGCACAACCTGACCTCGCCAGCCCAGAAGATCCTGTCTAGTCTGAAGCTGAGACGCAGCCACTCAGAGAAGGAGGAGCAGCTCTTTGTTTGAGGGAAGGTGACATTTTTAAACATAACAATTTGCATACACTGAAGAACTGCAATTATTTTACACTGTGTGTAAAAATAATAAAAATAATACAAAATAAAAACAGTGACTAAAACAGTAAAAACTGACTACGTTCATGTAGTTTTATTTTTTAAATCATCTTCTACTTTATTTTATTCACTTTTAATTCCCCTTGTTAGCATGTTTGAATTGTTAAAAAAAACAAAAGCTAAGCTTTTAGAAAACTTGATGATTTCAAACTCACCTGAAATAAATCAGTGGTGATGCTTACTCTGAGACAGTATATTCTTCTTTTAACTGTCAACCTTTCAACAAAAAAAATGCAACAACTAGATAGTACAGGAACATGTTTTTATTGTTGTTTTGTTTTTTTCATTTTATGTATTCAGTATTTGAATGTAACATGCAGGTGCTTTCAATTAGAAAAAAATACAAATCAGCACAAAAGCATCATGTTCTGTGAAGATTGTAAATGTTTGGTTTTTATTTGTTTTTTATTCAGTTTTTTTTAGTCTCCAGTGTAATAATGTCCGTAACTAAACATATCCTCTGTCAATAGTGTCATATTTGTATTAATTATTATTTTTATCCCTGTTTTGGTTTACGATCAATGCACCTTTCTTCTTTAGACACAAGAGGGCGATAGCTCGGTGTAGGACAAAACCATGTTAAAAAAAATAACAGTAAGAGCAATAAAATATTTTACTAATTTCATTCCTTGGTTTCATTTTTTTTTTTTTTTTTTACATTTTTTATGATATTTTTAAAACACCAAACATATAAATGTTCATCCACTGATCCCAGACAGCTTATAGAAATTGCAAAGTAAAGCCATGTATTTTTATTATTTTTTTTCTAATATTTAGGCCAGTTATCAATACTTATTCCCCTTTACTGCTGTTGTGGTTTAACCCAGAATCAAGACGACTCAGAAGCCACAACAGATTTACTTGTCATGGCAAGAGGATATCAATATACAGTTATTGCTCAACTGTGCCCTTATAAGTATTGATCTAACCCTAAACACATATTCAAAAGATCCTCCCCGACCAAGTTATCAATAGGCTCGTATCGTTGCTCATCTTCTCTCACCATCTTCCGCACCTTCTCCCTCCCACCGTCTCTGTCCATCTCCTCCCTCCGCTCCCTTTTCACTCCACAACCCAGAGCGACGCGTCTGTCGGAGAAATCAGGAGACACAATAGACCGTATTTTGTGGGGCATCATGATGTTGGAATTTTTTTCCGTGAGCAAACAGTGAAGCGGCTCATGTGGACGATCCGTGCAGGCGCCTCCGCTCAAATCACACACGCGCTGGAAGTTTCGCTGGATTTAAATGTTGCCAACCGAGATTTCAGGAGGAGTGTGTTTCACCTCAAGGTAAAGAGTCCGAGATCCAGGAACAGGTTGTCGGACAGAGCAGCGTGGTGAGATGCAAAAGTTGCACTTGAGTCAATCTTTCTTTTTTTTTTAAAGCAAAGCGCTCTGGGTGGGAGGCTTTTCCATTGTCAATGGGCAGGATAAAATTATCATTACGCTGATTTTTTAAAATTTATTTATTTATTTATTTATTTATTTATTTTGTGTATACTGAGAATGGATGAAGTGCGAAAATGTATACTTTATTTCTTCTATCAGCTGTTTCTCATGTATTTCAAATCCTGGATTTTGTCCACATTTATGTTATGCGGTCAATCTACTGACCTACTTTTTATGATTGAGGGGAAAAAATCTAATGAATCTGTTGCATAGCTCAAATAAAATTATTATTATTATTATTATTTATTTCACTACTCAAACAATGCTTAACTTGACGATAATGTTATGTGACAGTTTCACTTAAATTGCTAAATGGGCAGAATGAAACCTACGTTTTATGGACTGGTTGGAAATAAAATAATTTTAAAAAACAGGATTTCATGCTTTCACAACCTATTGAATGGCAATCAATTCAACATTTTTATTGAAGTCACACAGTAAAAAAAAAAAAAATCCCCAATCAGATACATTTGCATACTTTCTTAGCATAGTGTGGTTATTTTGTGAAAGGACGGCCCAAATATTTATTTCCTATGTTTTAAAAGTAAATGTCTTATACCCGTTACTGGAGTTTGGATTATCATAAGAATGAATTTCAGACGGCCTGGTATTCCAGACAAAACCTAATATTTAAGTTAATCTTTTTTTTTAGTATTTGAAAAATTTGCTGAACTATTTTAAGTCATTTATGTTGTTCTGAATATGCTTTCTAAACAAATTAGATTGAAAAACAAAAATCAAAGTTGCATTTTTTTATATGCCTATCCTATATAAGCATGTCGAGACTCAATTTTGCTCAGAATGGTTGTTTGTTTTTGTTTTTTTTTACCAAAATATGTCTGGCACGAATTACAATTTTAAAAACAATAAATTTCCGATTTTTGTTGCCATTAAAAGCCTCTTTGTTGTTCAAACTGAATTTACGTTCAGTGTTTAAAGCAATACGCATGTTTTCAGTAACATTTAAAAAAGAAAAGAAGGTGAAAGAGAAATAAAAATCATGTTGTTTTTTTTTTGCATGTTCTTTTTTGTTGGTGGTTTTTCGTTTTTTCAATAAAACCTAAACACTGCAGCCTTCAAAATAAAATGAACATTTTAAAAGTGGTTCATACAGTGTAGGCGTGTCAGGGCTGAATCTGAGGCTCATGCTGAACTACTGAGATGTTGAATCGAAAGCTGACATCTGATGTTCAAGTTTGATTTGTTGACTTTTGCGAATATACATTTTTATTATTTGTGTAATTAAATTTCCATGTATTTAAAGCCTAGAACCCAGTCCAGTGTAATAGTTTTTGAAAATTCTATTTAATATTTATTTTCTATACATCAGTGACGCATGAAAGAAAAAAAAACATGGACGGATGGTTAATTTTCCATCTTCGGTATCGTGTAATTTTGTGTCTTTAGCGATCACACTGAGGGAACGAGAGAAGGAATGAAAACTGAAGAGAACCAGCAGTCCTGTTTGCAGCAGCCTCCGTCCTCTACGCCTTTTGGTGAGTTATGTGTTGCAATACTCAGATGAACGGGGTTTCAAGAGCAGCAGCTTTTTAAAATAAAAAAATAAAAATATCCACAATGAAACATTTTTTGAAAGCTTGACACATGAACATTTCTAAATATATGAAAAAGTGAGCTAAAATCACCCCGGGGGTTCACTAAATATATAAACTTTAACATTTAATTTGAAATTACATGCTGGTTTTGAGATTTGAAAAAAAAAAAGTCGCAAGCGCAGTGTGAACCACGTCATTTTAATGAAGCGAGAAGTTAAAAATTTGAATCACTTTCAACACCTTTTTGCTTTTGGAACATCAAAAGGGATATTCCCTTTTTTGTCTTATCGGGAGAAATAACAGTTGGCTTGCGCCAGATGATGGGATTAAGACTTTTTATTGATATATCAGCACCAGTTCTGGCCTTTTCGCTGTAACTGTGGCAGTGATATGCTCCCCATCAGGTCCAGATTTCAGAGGAGGAGGAGGAGAAGTGTGCGCGGGCTGCGAGTCTCCCATCGCCGACCGCTTCCTGTTGCGCGTGAACGAGCGGTCCTGGCACGAGACCTGCGTCAAGTGCGCCGTCTGTCTGAGCGCACTCACCGGGACCTGTTACTGCAGGGACCGTCTGCTGTACTGCAAGCATGACTATGAAAAGTAAGACGCATTTATCAGCAAATTAAGAAACAGATCTGTTTCCTGACTAAGTGTTCTTTTTTTTTAAATTAAATACTGTTTTCTGTTTTCTTTGGAAACGGTCCCCTTGCGAAATGTACACTCAGATTTTATTTATTTATTTATTTATTTATTTATTTATTTATTTATTTATTTAGAATTGACTTCAGGTGTGTTTTGATTTACACGTCGCCTACCGATTTCTCGTGTGATCTCTGACGTTGAGGGTCAAACCCCGGTGCAAAAGAGACAACGTGCTCACGTTCTGGTGAGCATTAAGGTGGGATTTGAGGTTAAGTAGAAGGGAGGCTTCATAGAGGCTGTGCATAATCAGTGGAAGTCGGTGCAAAGGGAGCAGGGATAGTTGCACTAGCTGTGCAGAGAAAGAAGACACAACAACATACAAATGTCACGTTATCCTGCGCTGTTGGTTTGGTTAATTGTTGCCTCGGTTTTGCTGTGTCCGAAAAATGCTTCTAGTATGTTTTGAAGCCGTAATAAGGAAAAATTACCTTTTGTTTACCGTTTTCAAAGCAAAATATATGATTATAAGAAAAAGGTCTGAACTTCCGCACTCCCACCATCTTTAGAAAATCCTGTAATTAAGCTGTAAGTCAATTATTCTAAAACAAGTGCACCAAAGGCACAGGTCAAAACTACACATGCAATACTGGAATCATTCAAGCTGTTGGGAAATTTTACCCTTCACTTAAATTAAAACAGAAACTGATAACTATCAGAGTGTATATGTGGGATATACATAGGGATTTAAATGCATGTAATAATTAGATGCATTCAAACCTTTACCCAGTTTAAAGATCATAGCCTTTTGTGAAGAATTTTTTTTTTCAATTCAAGCAGAATCAATGCTGTTCATATCTGAACCTTGCGAATGCAACAATTTGCCTATCCAAATCAAATTTCTGCTCAATGTATCAAATAAAAATTTCCTAAATATACGCAACCTTATTTCCATCGACAACCTTTTTGAATGAAGGACAATATTATAGCAAAGTGTGAGATAGTTTAAAAAACAGCAGCCAATGAAATGGACGATATATGGCTGTTTGATGTTTCAGTGTTAGCAGTACTTTCATGGTCATTTCCTTTTGTTTTTTTGCTCCATGCTAGTCAGTGTGTGTCTGCAGAGGAAGCTCCTGCTTGGACAGCTTAAAGAAAAGCCTGGAGCTTGTTATCATTGTTTTGAAATGTGTTAGACGGCATCCAGCAGCATAGACTCTCCCACTGTACCTGGCATCTGAAGGAGAGAGGGTGAGAAAGAAGAAGATCAAAGCCCCATTGTGTGACGTTCATCTGTAAAAATGAGTGGGAAAGTACAGGCAAAACAACATATGAGTCATGATTATCAGTGATGGAATGAAAAAGGCAATTTGATTTCCTTGCGTAATGAATATAATTGCAGATTCATATCAACAGTAAGTGCTTAATTCGTCACAGCGTTGTTGTAGTTGTCCATGCATATGCTGTGTTGCCTTGTTGTGTGAGGTGGTGCCAGACTTGGCACACAGTAATGTCTGTGACCTTCAGCAGATCAGCAACAATGTCTCCTTGTTTTCCCTGCAGACTGTCCATCAGCGCCTTACGCTACACACTCCCCCATCTAAAGCAGATGTGTGTATTCCAAAAGAGAAGGTTGTCCAGGAATTTGGATCATGCATAAGAACTTTAGAGGAATTCACACAATTATTAGCACATTACTCTTTTCCCCTTTCGGCTTTTTACATGAGACTCGGTTCCAGTAGTGCTCCATCTGCTGCAGGAAAGATCATTTACTCAATGTTGATACAAAGTTATAAATGCATGTTTGGAATTACATAAGTAATATTCAGATTGTTTATCTTAATTTAACATTCATATTAAATCAGCATCTTGGAAATTTTACAAGATTTTTATGCTCATATCTGTCTTGATTACATCATTGAGCACAAAGACATGCAAAAGCTCCGGCTCCTTTGCAGTATACTGTCCACCATGAAGGACATCCTCACATACTCTTTTCCTCATAATCCATGAGGAAGACATTATTTTCTTCAGAACTCAACTAAATGTAAAACTTCCTTGTGGAAGGATGAAAGTAGTAGACCGGATTTAGAATTACTGGGTTGGGATGAAGAAGTAAGCATGTGAGGAAACAACAATTCACATTAGAAAACCAATCTTACATTGAAATATGAGCCCATCTCCCACACAATGCATCTCAGCGTAACTGCCTGAAGGCGAAACCTAATTCAGCATTTGCATATTTAATATTTTTGAAGGACTCCCTCTCTAATTATTCTAAGATAGTTGCTTTAAAGCTCCAAATGTGAATCTAAGGCTTCAGCACAACAGTAGAAATATTTAGATGAAATTAATAATCAGGTTTAACAAATCAAGCACAGCACTGAAGTGTGAAAATTGTTTCTATTCCATATTGTATTCAAGGTTTTGTTTATTTTATTTTCAGAGGAAAATAAACATACACGTTTTTCTATTTATTTTTGTGGTAGACAGAATAAAAATACTTTCAAATTGATTGCATTGTTAATATTTGGTTTGGAAAACTATAGTAAATAACGTCAATAGATCAAATTAAGGCCAGATGATTGGAAACAATGTACTTTGACCTTAAGATGTAGCGATTTTGTCATATTAAGACTGCTGTCCGGCAATGCAGAACCAGGAAAACTCTTCCATAAAACCATAAAAGCAGCTTCAGCCAAGTGGGAAACAGGTGCAGATACTAACTAATGCCATGCAATGTGGGTTGGAAGGCACAGAGAAGTTTAAATGTTTAATATTGTCTGTTATTTAAAACATATGTAATTATATACTCCACATAACTATACTATGAACAATCTAAACAGAGTTCTGCTGAGTGTGTTTTTTGTGAACTCCTGAGTCTGAATCCAGGGATAGAAAATATATTTCATCTTCCTTCTATACCTCCACCTTATCAGCCATCCCTCTCCCTGTCTCTAGATCCATTACCTCATTCATCACTGTCTCCTTTGTAATAATATTTCTGTATACCAAACCTCATTTCCTTCTTGTTGAGATTGATAGCAGTGATGACACCAAACAGTTTATCTCCCCATTTATCCCTTGTTTTCTCTTAATCGCCCCACCACCCGCACCACACTCGCTGCCTTGTGTCTCAGGAGGCGAAAGGGAAGAAATTGTAGTGAGACTGATTGGGTTCTGTGCTAATTATTGAAATCTCCGGCTGTCCGGATGACAGATCTGACTGTGTGTTGCTGTGAAATACTAACGCAAAATTATGTAATATGTCAAACAGATCACAGTTTTATTTCTGTTGGCCTCCACAATAATTATTAAACAAAAATCTGATGCTTTTAAATTATTTTTAAATGTGGTTAGACACAAACATTGAACTTAAAACACTTTTATTTGTTATTTCCTGCAGCCCATAATTATAATTCATTTTAAAAAATTTAAAAAATTAAGCAGTTTTAATGTTGGAATTAAAAAACAAATATGTTTAAATACATACATCATCCAATTATTCAAAACTAAATCTCTTATTTATCAATTAACTAAAAGATAGTGAGACAAATAGAACTGATTTATAAGCAAGAAACAAAAAAAAAAAGTTAATGTTTTTATTCAATGTGATTGAATGGGTAAATAATGCTTTTGATATATCAGAATTGCAATGTTTCCAGATGTGGATAAATGTATTATTATCGCTAATAAAGACGGTTAAAGATGCCTGAAAAAAGTTGGGATGGGTCGTTAAAAAAACTATTGTAAAAAAACCATTTTTTTGCAACAAAAAAAAACTTGGTAACTTCAGCAATTCCTTAAAATAAATGTTAAATTATATGACTTGTACTTTCCTTAAGCTGACCAGTTTAAAATATCTTTCTCTTTCCTTGGGCTGCAAATATGGCATGATATATGGAGACATCCAATTCTGTCAGCCAATGGTCATACAGCTGGACAAAGATGCATATTTATCTTTCCATGCACTGTGATTCACTGGGAAGTAAAACCACGAAAAACAGTACAGATATCTTAAGGGTCACCAAGACTCCATAACAAGTTTTAGACATTAGCTGCATGACAAGAACTTTTTGAAAGGCATGTCAGGAAAGGACCCTTCTCTCTCATCAACATAAACAATAAACATGTATTGGAACTGTGAGCTCTGGTTAGATAAAACCCCAATTGAGATTTTCAGCATTTGGTCTGACACAAATGGTAAATTTCTATGTATAGTGAAGCACCTATGATACTGTGGATCTGTTTCTTCAAAGACACTGAAAACCTTGTTAATCTTACATGGCTTTTCCCTGCCAATAAGCCAAAAACGGGTTATTTGGCCAACACATATCCCCTCATAAACACAAAAAAGTTAAAAAAATAAACCCTCGTTCATCATCATCTCAGTTCCCAGATGTAAATCCAAAGAAAACATGTAGATTAAGTAAAATAGAAGAAATCATAAGAGAAGAACCATGGTTTTATTCAATCTAGGAACTGTGTGTAATAAAGAATGATTAAAGATTCCTTTCTCTAAATTTTGCAGACTTGTGAAATGAAGGGGAAGACAAAGTTCTGTCTTGTCGGCAAAGGGGGTTAATGCAAAGTTTCAACAGCAGAGTTGGCATACTTGTGCCACTTAAATTTAGCTGAAGGTAAATATTTCTCCCTGATCAAATAAATGTGCTAAAATTAAAAGGTGGTGTTTTCTAAACTTTATAGTAAGAGAAAGTTACTGCAAAAGTAAAAAGAAAAAAAGTGCTTTGCGCAGACTTTTACCTTATATTTTTTTCAAAAAATCTGTTCACATTTACATAAACTCATGTCAAGGGATCAAAATATTACCTGGATAGACATTCTGCAGTTTTCAAGCATCACAAAGCTTTTTCCTGAGCAAAATTAGCAGTTCAACAGACGATGGTTGGATGTTTGCCAGAAGAAAACAAAATGGGGATGAGCGAGTTTGATGTCTTTTTGGATGATGTGCTTTTGACTAATATCAGTTCTGATAAAATGAATAAAATAACATATCACAAAACTTCAAGTGATCGCGAACAGGTTCAAAATGGGACAAACAGAGAAAAGAGAAAATATCTGAGAGAGAAAGGACATACTGATGGGCTGATTTTTATCTGGTATATTGTGTGTTTGTGTGTGTGTCTGTGGGAGGGGTGGTGAGTTTGGTATTGCCACTGTTTTTGCATAATGTGAGATGAGACCCCATCATCTTTCCTCCCCCACAACAATTTTATAACAGACAGCTAATAAATGTTTCATGGCAGAACAAGCTGCTCGCTTCAGCTTTATTAAATCTGAGATAATAAAAGCAGAGAGGGAGAAGGAAAAAAGAGTGAGAATAGGGGGTTGCATCAGAGAGAGGGAGAGATAGAGAGATTGGCATAGACTTTTCTCTAACCAGTCTGCTGTATCTTCTGTTTCTGAGGTAACGGACCCCACTGTCCCCCACCAGCCCCTCCCTGCTGCTTCCCGCTCCGCCAGAGTCAGACAGGAAATGAGAAACGGGCAGACAGGATATTGCGTTCTGGTGGCCTGGGGATTAACTGTTTTATCTAAACTAACACACACCCTATCACTCACGCTCACAAACACACATCTACATCCTGACACATAGCATTCATTCTTGATCAAAGACACACAAACCTACATCGAAACACATTTCACACAAACCATGCATGTCATAGAGGCTTTTGGCTACTTTTTTAATATTTTGAAAATCAGTTCTGCTCTCTAATACACTTGCAGTTTTACGATTGTAAATTATTTTTAATGAGACTATATAACTATATGTGAGGTTTTGGTTTTACTCATTAACAAACTACTGACATTAAAGGTTGACGTGTTGAGCAAATGACAGCATCTGTCACTGTTTTACTGTGTTTTACCTTTGCACTCATTCACCTTATCTGCGTTTACACTGTTTACACCACGCTTATCTCTGTATTTAAGTTCATGCTTGAGTGCATGAAGTGGTTATCTATCTATCTATCTATCTGTCTATCTATCTATCTATATATGGATAGATATATAGCTATATATAGAATATATATTAATATATGTGTGTGTTTGTGCGTGTGTGTAGGTGTATGTGTGCATAGAGGGTGAGATAGCAGATATATCCACATATTTATTGACATAGAGATATATAGATATATCGCTATACCCATACGCACACACTCATGTACACACACACACACACACCCACGCACACACACACAAAACCGTATGTGTGAGAGTGGTGGCTGGGTAGCAAGTATCGTGGGGAATGCTGGGAGATTTTAATAACACAGAAGCAGCGCAGGGAGATTTAATAAAAGGAGATGATGTGATTACTGAACCCTGGCTCTGAGCCATTTTGCTCCACAGAGCAATATCCGCCAAAAGTGTGCACGCATATGTGCACACACACACATACACACATGCACACACACATGCGCACACACCTAAGGAATCAAAACAAAATGCAACTTAAAAGTAAGATTGATGCATATGATTTGTTATTTTTTTCTGTATCTCCCCAATCCTTTTGTTATACCTTAATTTTCAGGGAGCGCCAGTTATGTGTCACATGTTGCTGTCAATAAGTTTGCAGGAATCAAAATGTAGCACATCAAGACCTAAGTGTATCATATTCTGGGAGTAAATAACAGCCCAGGTGTTTGAAATGAATGACAACCTCTCTTTTCAAGGCATTTAAGTACCACTGCACCGAAACCAAGAATAATTTAAATACAGTGTAACCAATACTTGTATAAATATTAATCATGACAACACAGGGATGAGCTTAACTGTAACAGCTCTGAGACGCATACATATTTATGAAATGAGTGTATTTCAGTCCAGACAGTGTTAAACTTGTCAGAGCTCACAGGCTAAACAATGCCACATGACACAGCTTAAGGGAGATGGCAAAGATTCTGGTTGTATGCCTTGGATCTAGAGAAATACAAAGAGGAAACACGTGATAATATCAGAACTCTACAAATGCAGCACTTCTCTGTCTTTCAGAATTTGATCTTTTAATCTTTGAGCTCTAACCTTCTAACCCTCAATTGTCTCAAAAATCCATTGCATTGCACATGAAATTCTCTTTTTTGAATCTCGAACAAAACAAAGTCTTGACTGACATACACTTGTATTCCTTTCTGTATGCATTGACATGCAGTAAAGTACAAGCTGACGTGTTTTCCCACAAAATAGCTTACAGTTTAATAGGCATTATTAATCATTACTTCAAATTCTCAAATAGATCAATTATAAATGCTGAGAAAATTGTAACATGTTTCCATAAATATGGTGAAGCTAAATTTAGGCTGCCTCAAGTGCATGGTTGCCCTCTCTCGTGTTTATTGTGATTTTGGTAAGCTGCCCCCCAAACATGACCATGTGCGAATGATACTTCTATTAGAGGGATTAGACTGATCTACTTACAGACCCCCCTCTGCGGCAGTTACCCCAAGTTGCCTTCATGTGCCATGTTGAGTAAATTCCTATCGTGCTGTGTACACATTGATTAGGGAGTGTGGGAGTTAACCACACACATCATCCGTCTTATGTCAAGCAGCCCTGACAATTCTGTTCTGTTGAGCATTGTCCGCAGTGAAAGAAACTATTTAAGATACTGAAGTCCCTATTCAGATGGAGAATGAGCCGGCGCAAAAACCACACTGATGGGTTATTCTTTGCAGAATATGCTTGGATACCACTGACCACCACAGCATGTTTGCCAATTTACAGATGAATTGTCTGTCTGGAGTGCATTGCATCGTTTAATTCGAAAGTAGTTTTGAAAACAGCAAAACATAAGACACACAATTAGGCTATTGGGTTGACAACAGGTTGCCTACTTTTGTTTTTGGTATCAAGTTTGAGACACTGTCATTTGGGGAATTTGAGGAGAGCGTTTGGCAGATGGATTGAGAAAGATTAGCTGCAGCAGCTGCGTTTGGGACAGAATCACAGATTAGAAGCTCTAATGTGCAGACCTGGCTCTGTCTTTGCACTCCAGATTTGGGCAACAACACCTTACTCTCACTCATTCTGGGAAGGTCATTACTCAGCCTTCATCTCCTCCTCACTTCATTCCCTCCCTTTTCATTCTCTCTCCCTTCCCAACAAGTTCTGTGTTTTGTTATGATGCTATTTCGGTATCCACGAGTCTTGACTGATTCTAGAGCTCTTCTACTCCTGAGTTCCTCATTCTTCAGAAGTGATACTGATGCTCTTGTGCATTAAAACTATAACCTTGCTGAAGTTATTTTAAACCAACAGCATGATACTAGGTGTTACATTTGAGTAAGTAAATAAGTAAATAAGTAAGGCAGCTATTGCATGACCTAATGTCGGTTTGCATGCATGCATGTGTATGTGTGGGCTAGTGTGGCCTGTGTTTGTGTGTGTGTGTTTTGTGTGCATAAGTGAGAGGAGAGAGATTAACCCCATGCTATCACCAATCCCTGGTTATGAGTTTACAGCGTCTGTCTGGCCATCTCACTGTTTAAACAACAATCTAATTAATCCTGTCTTTATTAGTTTCAGTGAACTGGGGAGGCAGGCTTGGAGGGCATGAGGGAAAACTGGGAATGCTGGCAGAAAAGGCTGAAGGAGGGGGAGGAAACCAAGTGCAAGAACAGGGATTTGGGAGGAATTTGAAGTCAGAGACTTGGGCCCTGTGAATGTAAATAGGCACTGGAAGTAATTGTGAAGCATGAGAGCAATTGAAAGGTTATAACACCACAGAGGGGGAGAAATAGAGGAAAAAAAGAAAAATAGGAAAATAAATGAATCCAACAAAGAGTATTTTAGGCCTAATTTGCAGAGTAGCCTATATATTTTTTAAGATTATGGTTTGTAAAAGGTTACATGGAATGTAACAAGTTCTCAATATTTAAGGCTTGTGCTGGAAAATGCAGTAGATCATCAACTAACTACTGCCACCTACTGTCATTAGGGAAAAACCAAAACACAAAACTGTTGGAAACAATTGTTACTCATCTTAACAGATGTTCACCTTGTTGCTCAGTGAATTGAGTAATGCCTGTACAGTCTTTAATTAAGACTGTACTGGCACTCAGCTACATGTTAATTGCAGTCAAGGGTAAATGTATTAAGAGATCCTTGTTTGTATCTTCAAATTTAATTGCCTTAACTGCCTTTCTGCTTTCAGCATAAACCAATCTGAACACATAAGGGCATGTTTCTCTGCTTCTTTCTACTTTCAGGCTCTTTATAAGGAAGTGCAGCGCTTGCCTGCAGGTCATTGGACGCTCTGAGCTGATAATGCGTGTGCTGGGCCAGGTATACCACCTGGGCTGCTTCAGCTGCTGCGAGTGTGAACGCCGACTGCAGAGAGGTGATGAGTTTGTGTTGAAAGAAGGCCAGCTGCTCTGCCGTATGGACTATGAAAAGGAGAGGGAAATGCTTGCTGCTATTAGTCCTGCTCCAACTGAATCAGGTGCAGTGTTTGATGGAATACAGCTTAACTTGTGCCACATCTAATAGAAGTCACAAAAGAACGCATTTCTTTGGAAAATTCTGATAACTCTCCTTTGTAAACACATAGGATAATCACATTTGATCAAATAACCAAGTAATCTGATGGGGAAAATAAGATTTCAAGCTTGTGTCGGGTCACTAATACAAGTAATTGTGAAGAGATTGTCCAAATAGTGATACACCACAAAACTCCCTTGCTGAAAGTTATTGCACCGGGGTTTAAGTTTGAGCTTTGTCTACACTTTGTCTTATTCAGTGAAAAGTGAGGATGAAGATGGTGGGGGAGGATCTGGCAGTGGGAAAGGTGGTGATGAGGGCAAAGAGCACAAGCGTTCAAAACGACCACGCACCATCTTGACCACACAGCAGCGGCGAGCTTTCAAGGCCTCTTTTGAAGTATCGGCCAAGCCATGCCGAAAGGTGGGTGAATCAGCCACTCATCAGTGAAAAAGCATGCCAAAAAGACCTCGACTTTCCCGTCAGAGTTCATTGTTTTTTCCTTGGTTGTCTGATAAAGCAATAAAAAACTCTAACCTGTAGGTGAGGGAAACGCTAGCTGCAGAGACTGGCCTGACAGTGCGAGTTGTACAGGTGTGGTTTCAAAACCAGAGAGCAAAGGTCAGACTATCTCTTTCCTGAAGATATGTTCAATCACTTTATATGTTAACACCCTTATTAAATTCTTACGGTATCTTATTTTGCACCCTAGATGAAAAAGATAGCTCGCAGACAGCAGCAACAGCAGCAGCAGCAGCAGGAACAAGAACAACTGGGAGGGACCAGGAGAGGGCCGAGCAGAGGTGGCCGTCAAAGCAATGATGACAGTGAGGGTATGAGAAAGATTTAGAAAAAGGCAGACAAAAAAATTAAGTATTTAAAATGAACCTCTACTTTTCCAGATGGTTCTAGTACTCATGGAATGGATAGCATGCTAGGATATCCGTCTTTGCCACGTCAGCAACTGCTTTCTCTGGACCCCAACATTTACGGTGGAGAGCCATTTCGACATGGTCTGACGCCTCCTCAACTAAACAGTGAGCAGATCCACTCCTATGGTAAGACGCAGCGATAAAGCCTCAAGTTTGATTTACATTTTGATTCTTCAGTCACTTCTGACATGCTTCCTTTTTAGTGTAACTGAAAAAGAGAAATGTTGACCACTTCTATTTGGATTCCCTTTCTTTTCGCTGCAGACTCAGAGACAGTCTTCCATGACTTGGACAGCGATGGAAGCCTCAGCCACCTGGGTGACTGTCTCTTGGCAACAGGAGAGGCCGGTCTCCTGGCAGGACGAGTAGGAAACCCCATCGACCGTCTGTACTCCATGCAGAACTTGTACTTCACCTCCTGACCCTTAAAAACTCTCATCTTTACCCCACCGGTTCCACCTTTCACCCCTGAGAAGCAACCTGCCTATGGAACTATCTTTAATTAAACTGGCTACAGCCAATCATACTCCTGAGCTTTTAATGCTGGAAAACATCTTCACAAGCCAGACGGTCATAACATCACTCTGCTGATTAGCATAATGTCCTCTTGTGCTTTCCTGAATAAGAATCATATGCTGGATCTAGGCACTGTAAATTTCCATGATAATAGCCTTCTATTTTTTTTTCCATCATATTTATGCCATACTCAGTGAGAATATTTCACTTCGCTTTCAAACAGAAAAACAATAACCACACATTGATCATTCCATATAAATAATTTTAATGAATCAAGTCAAGTTAAATGTATGTAGGAGTTGTGGTAGTTTTAAACATTTGGGGTTCTAAATACTATTAGTACATTGGTGAACTTTCTTTGTTCTGTCTGGATTGATTTTATCGGTGTGTGTGGTTGGCTGCAACGTATACAAGAGTATATGTATGGGAATACAGTTTTGCTCTCAGGTTAGTGTGTATGTTTGTGAGACCTGAGAGTCATCTCAGGAAATTGTGCTGGACAGAATGACATCTTGAAATCCCATAATATTTCTAATTTTATGCTTTTTGACAAATGACAGCTAAAAAAAAAAAGTGGACCAAAAATAAATTACTTTTGCATTTAGAAAATAGATGACCTTCCAGTGTCATTTGAAAAGCCTTAAGTGGAAACAGGGTTGTATAAATGCTCATTACTTTAGTTTACGCTTTTATATCATCAGTAAAATTTTAGTGTAGTAAATTACAACCAAAAGGTCTACAATGCCCAAATCTTAGGTCTTTAAGTCCACAATGATGAATTCCAATTGTATATGTGAATACAACTATGTCACACATAATTGTTGCAATCAGTTTCTGTAATAATTTCCTTTGTCAAAAATATCCTAATAGATACTGTTGGGTAGACATTTTGTACCTTCTGTGATAATCAGCAAATATTTAAACTATAGCATGATATTTGTGTGCCACAAAGTAGATCTATAGAAATAGAATCCAATTTTATTTTGGATAGCAGGTGCTGCTGAAAGGATCGGCGCAGACTCATCCTGTGGATTCCTGTAGCACAAAAAAGAATGAAGGTGATACCCATCTCATTTAAATGTCAGTGGTCTGACAAAGCCTGGGGTACTCTTAAGAAATTGTTTGATTCTAATAATACATGGCGTTTTTACTGTGATATTAATGTGAATGTAACTTATTTGTGTGGTACTAGATGACATTTTATCTATTTCGTTCGGTGACAGCAAGGTGATGTGCTTTGAATTTAATGTTCATGTATCTTTCAACACAATCTGCGGTTTTACCTTTAAAGTAAAACTGCCTTATTTGTCCTTAATACAATAAATAATGAAAGACTTACCAATTGCTCATGTGGCATGAACTAATAATTCACCTAAAAATAAAGCAATCTATTTCTCCTCCATGACTCACACCAAAACCTTTAATAATTGAACCAGAAAATGTCTGTTCTGCTGAATGGTCACAAGGTTCATAACTCAACTTCCTCCCTCTGTCTGTCTCAGTAGTCCTGCTGATTAGAGGTGAATAACCTCCTCTTTTTTACCCTATCTTCCCAAACTCCCTATTGCTCAGTGACCGAATAGTCAGGTTTGTGTGGGAGCAATGCATTCCAGTTTAATATTTGACTATGACCTGGAAAAGGCATCGGCAGCAAAGGCATAAATAATCACCATAAAACAACACAGGATTATGACACCAAATGAACAATGAAAATCTAATATTAATTAAGTAAAACTGCGATATACAAGACATTGCAAACCTGACTTATTTATTCAAACGCAAGTATAAGTGATATTCAAATGGCGTAAAGTACAGTGCTAGAGTATTCCTATTTTTTTTTACATTTGAAATCAGTCACAATAGGTCACAGTTAAGACGAACAGATATTAAACACTCAGCATATATATATATATATATATATATATATATATATATATATATATATATATATATATATATATAACTATATATAACTTCAAATAAACACAGTTGACACATTCACATCCAGCTTGTGTAGACGTTTGGTCTGATGATAGAAGTTGCTGAATCCTATGATGTGTCAGAACTTGAATCTGAACCTAGGAATAAAAGAGCAGAGATTGGAATAATTGTTAAAAATGTGGAATTTGATTCCATTTTCCAACACTGTAATTGTACATGGTTAACCCCCTTAGTACTACGCAGTTGGGGTTATAACCTTAAACAGTCAAACCAAAGTAATACTGAATAATGACCTAAATTTGGAGTTGACTTGCATTTTCAAAATTTTAAATCATAAAAATATAAATTCATGTGACATACAGTATATGTAGAGACATTTCTCATCATTAGAGGGTTAATGGAGTTTTGTCAAAGAAACATTTTACAGCACAGTTTGCACAAATATGTCTAAAACATTTCATAATCCAGTGTTTATGTGTGACCTTTGCGACCTAAAAATGCAATTTCGTAAAGTCTTACCCACGCTGCTGAGGTCAACGGAGTCTGCACAGCCTAGAAAGCGGGTCACGTGTGGTGAACAAGAGGTAGGTGAGGTCAGGTTTTCTTTGAGACATTGCTCAAATTTCTCAAATTCTGTGGAGCAGTCTTCCCTGATCTTCTGGATCACTGGACTGTGAACATTAAGTGGTCAGGCACAAGGGAAAATGCACAGGTATATAGGACAGATCCATTGACTTACTGTGATGATGTACATTGTGAAACCTTGAGTTTTAGGTCATGGCACTTGTGTTGCCAAGACGTTGGATTTGAGGCAACGCAGGACCCATATGTCTCCAGTTCTTTATAACAGTACTTTGCTGATATTTCCATAGCTGCTTGCCTGGAAGGAAATACAAACAGTGGCAAGTGGCTGGTCAATCTTATCTATCAATTTGACAACGTGCTAAAGCAGCAGAACTCTAAACGGAGCATTGTGGTGTAAATATATAATGTATTACTGATATAATCTGTTATTTCAATTCTTACATGTTGGTGTTTGAAGCTGTGTCGAGTCGACTACAGAAGCGTTATAATCAAGGTTAAATAATCACCACTTCAGCGTGTGGAAACGAAGTCTTTGCGATTAAGAGCTACAGCACGCATACCCGCATTTGATTGGAAGGAAAAGCCACATCCTGATGATGTTCTTCAATTTTGTTGGGGCAGATCTGTGTCTGTCATGCATGTAGGCAACGCCCAGAGAGTGACGTTTTTATTTAAAGGGGCAGTAATTTCATGGCACGAAGAACTACTTTGTAATTTTGAATTTAAATTGTTTTGACTTCACTCTAGATGTCATGTAACAGAGAAGATGCATGCTTATTTTAGCTTGTGAAGCGCCACCCGATTAATACCGCTGGAAATCAGGGAGCAACCCATATACGTTTTAAATTTGTGTTTTAATTATATCAGAAAGCACAGTTTAATACGTTTCTTTTAATTTCTTAACGTACTATAATTTACGATTCTCCAACTTCTTTGATTTATTTCCTTTTTACGTTTTCCTGTGTTTATTAATTTTATTAACTCCATCTTATATTGAAATATATTTGCAGAAAACAACCTGAAATATTACTAATTTGGAAAACTCAGTAGTGTAAAGGCGTTTTGAGAAAGAAAAATAAAAAGCTAGTTGGAGGTAAACTGACGCTCTTTAAATATGACGTGTCTTTGCGTATTTGCGTATGCGGAAGAAGCAGTCGGGAAACAGTCAACTCAAAAGACGGGCTCTCAAAGCTGGATAACACACCGCTTCCTGGGTAGAATCGTATTTTTAACGGCTCTAGCGAGACGGCGTGGTGGTGAATGGTAGAGGGGGCCCAAGGAGGGATTCGGATACAATGAACGACGCCAAGAAAGACGAGAGAATGGCTGCAGACGGAATCCGAGGACCGAGCGAGCTACAAATGGCCCCCTCTGTTAACCACAACCAGAATGACAGCGGCGCCGGTGATGAGCTCGTAAGATCGGTGACGCTGTACAGACGGAGGCCCCGACTGCTACACGGCACAGTCCTCCCGTTTCTGGCTGTCCTTTACCCTGGCTGGGTGTACGTGTGGTTAGGAGTGTACGGTGCCTCAGAGTATCCAGAGGCAGGCCTCCTTGCGTTAGCCGCTATCGGGATCGCGCACGTCCTCACAGCGCTCTCTGGATACTGGTCCGTGCACGTGCATTGTTGGCTCACTTGTTCCAAGGTAAATACAAGTTTTGACAAATTATATGCACTTTTACAGCGGATAGTACAAAAAAATAAAATAAAAATTATCTTAGAACATGTCAAGTAGCACCTGTATTTAAAATGGTTGTATTTAAAATTTTCTAATTTATAATGTGTTATAAATTTTTATTGACTTTATGTATATATTAGCTATAAATAGTACTTAACCAAAACCTTCTCCTTTAGAGTGTTGTCTTTTAGATATCCACAGAGTTTATACTGATTAGTAAACATTTGCTTGGTGATAACCAATGAAAATGAAAGAAACAGTTCAGTTCATTGAAAACTTAAATTTGTTATGAATCAAATAGTCAGAAAGTAATAGATCTTTTAAACTACCTAACATTGAACAATTCCAGATCTCATCAAAACTTGCTGTAAGGCTTGTTGATTTGAAAAGCTCATCATCCTCTTTATTTCTCTGTTTAGGGAAAGTTTAGCTTTTTTTCTCTGTGTATCAGCGGGTTGTGATCTGTATATCCTTAGGGTGCTCCAAAAATAAAAGTGCTGTCCCAACAGCATGTGAATATATCATCTGTTTTATTTCTTTAAATAAATACAGGAGCCAGATCCCAAGCTGGCTACACTCGCAAAGGTCATTCCAACCCCGAACAATGGTTCTGCTGAGCTTGTCACACTCCAGAGGGATGAGGTTTGTTCACATATTTAAAGACTGATTTCCCTATGTTGTCATATTTGGAATTATGTTAAGTTTTACTTCCCTAAAATGCTCAAAGATAGTGTGACAAGGTTTGTGAAAGCCACACATGTCATTACTTGTTATCAAAGATCTACGTGCTTAGATATGTGGCTTTATTTATCTGGAAATTTAGATATTGGCTTTGAATTTGATCTATTACTTGAATATATTTTCATTTTTTTATTTGACACTACAATATATTTTTTAAACATATGTTCTCTGTTTGGATCAACAGGATGAGAATGGGGAAAAGATCTTATCTTTTGAGTTTCAAAAGATCCGTTACATTTTTGACTACAAAGAGAAGAAATGTTTCCTTCCAGTTGCATTCCCCATTAACCACCCAATGGGCCACTTCCAGTCATGGCGTGGATACCAGGAAGAAACTGAGCTCAAGGTTGCAGAAAAGCGATATGGCACCAATCGTGCAGAGATGGTTGTGCCAGACTTCCTGGAGCTGTTTAAGGAGAGAGCAACAGCTCCTTTTTTTGTCTTCCAGGTACATGTGTATCTTTTTCTTGTAATTGGTCTGGGTTCATTAGTCAGGAAGAGAACATGTAAATACTTTGCATCAGTTTGATGTTATCTGTCCTGTGTTCATCAGGTTTTCTGTGTGGGGCTGTGGTGTCTGGATGAATACTGGTATTACAGCGTTTTTACTCTGTTCATGTTGGTTGCATTTGAGGCATCCCTAGTCCAACAGCAAATGAGGAATATGTCAGAAATACGTCGCATGGGAAATAAGCCCTATATGATCCAGGTAAGCTTGATCAAGTTTGAAATGCATTCTGTTGCTAATTTAGTCATAAAAACTTTATAGTGATATGATCAAGTTCACTTCTGCAATCAACAGAGTTTGACAAAGAATAAAAAGTCGCACATGTATGCAAATTGAATTGGAAAATAAAATTAACATTAGGCCATTTAATAGTGCTTAGGGACTTTTCCATTGGCTTCATGAAGAGAGATGAGGCCTTTTAAAACATATTTTACCCAAACTTTAGAGCTCAGTCTGTTTTCCATAAATAATGTGATATACCTAGCATATCAAAATAAGTGTATGTACGTCTTTGATAGGTGTATCGCAACAGGAAATGGAGACCTATTTCTAGTGATGAACTAGTTCCTGGAGACATTGTCTCCATAGGTGAGTGTGCAATCCTAAATGTTATGACTCCTTACTGCAAACCCTACATTCATTTTCTGTGTTGAAATGTGTGTTTTCTATTCTATAGGACGCTCACCCCAGGACAACCTGGTACCCTGTGATGTGCTGCTACTCAGAGGACGTTGCATTGTGGATGAAGCCATGCTGACTGGAGAGTCGGTTCCACAGATGAAGGTTAGTAAATAATATAGTCATGTGGCAAACTATTTGCTTCAATACAAATGTTTACTGTTTTTGCTGTGTCTAAATATTTCAGAGCAACAAACAATGTCATAATTAGACAGACAAATTCAGTAAAAAAATATAAGATGGTGTTTGCAAATGTTAGCTGCCTTTTAAATCATAAATTAAATTTATAAGCCCCACATTTAGAAAGTTGAGTTCAGTTTCACTTGTACACTAGTTTAATAGTGTGATTGCTTCCATACCACACTATTTCTCAAATGGAAAATTCTGATACAATGGGGTGAAGGCAACAAATTATGCTAAGGAATTTCAAGAATAGATGATAAATTTATTTCTAAGGTTTTGGAACTCGAGCAAACCACAATGAAATACATTTTTTTTCTGAAATAGTGAACACAATGAACTTTTTTTTAATCTACCAAGATAACGCTTAAAGGTGTCTCAATGCATATCCTGGAGGTCACAAAGGACGTCACTTGTCTCTGTTGAAGTCAGTTTTCATAAACCCCCACCCACTTCCAACAAAAACAAGCCTGTCTGGCTCATGTGTATGCTTGGGAATATTCGTGGCTGCTCCAACCCCACGGCACCCAGAGAAGTCTTACCTGTTCCACCAGTAACATTTGGGAGTAGACTAGTAAAAATTTAGACTCAAATCTAATTGAGATGCTTCTGCATGCCCTAAGACCTACATTGCCTGAAAACCAATGTAGCTGAATTAAAACTGAATTGTTTTCATTAGCTGAATTGGAAAATGGGCAAAACATTGTTTCACATCAATGTAAAAGATCATCTCTAGTTATTGCAAATGCTTAAGGGCAGTTGTTGCCTCCAAGAGTGACACCACCAGATATTAGATTTAGAAGGCAATTACTTTTCCTGTTGAATCTGGTTGGACCGGACAGCCAGTTTGACTGAAATAGATCATATTTTGAAAACTAAATTATGGATTTACTCAGATTATTTTTGTCTGATATTATTTGTTTGAACATCTGAAGATCTTAGTTGTGACAAGAAAAGACAAACCAGAAATCTGCAAGTGGTGGAAATACTTTTTCATTGTGTTTTAATTTCAATAAGATTGCGTAATTCAAGCCTTGTTTTACTGTTGTGTGCAGGAGCCAGTAGAAGACTTGGATCCAGGGCGAATTTTGGACCTTCAGACAGACTCTCGCCTGCATATCATTTCTGGTGGAACCAAAGTGGTTCAGCATACTCCTCCTTTAAAGACCAGTGCTGGACTCAAGCGTAAGTGCTAGTTCGCCTGTCTTTTATTTGTCAACAGGAATATCTACTAGCATTGAACAATATAATTATTTGTACTATTTTTCATTGTTTGCAGCTGTAGACAATGGCTGTGTGGCCTATGTACTGAGAACAGGATTCTATACGTCTCAGGTAAGGAATTGGGATAACTGTTAAAAAAAGGATTTTTTTTTTTTTTTTTACTCTGTTATTAAAACTTTTATTGTCCATTACTAAACAGTGTGTGTGGTGACATTGTTCTACAGGGTAAACTGCTAAGGACCATTCTCTTTGGTGTAAAGAGAGTGACGGCAAACAATCTGGAGACTTTTATCTTTATTCTCTTCCTCCTTGTGTTTGCCATTGCTGCTGCTGCATATGTGTGGGTTGAAGGTGAGGTGACAACAATTAGCTCATTAAAATGTATTACAAATTGTTTGAAAGCCAATAAAACTTGCATCCAAGTTTGTACTTATAGTATATACTTATGAACGGTGAAGTTGATTCTGAAGCATGTCTTTTTTAAATTATTATTTGTATCCCTTCCTAGGAACAAAGGATCTCACACGAAATCGCTACAAGTTGTTTTTGGA